CACTGCTTTGACTCACTCTCTTCTCTCTCCTTGACACATCCAGTTTCTTGTACTAAGCTCTGGCCCCTTTCATGTGGTTTGCAATGAGAATATTCCAAAGCTGGCATTCAGCTGCTGCCTTGCTAACATGGAATCGTCCTGATTGGCTCTTTTCCTCAGTGAACTAAAGGTGTCTATAATACCTGCCTGCAATTCACTGATCTCAGGATTCCATGCCCAGGTGGCACATCACAATTAGCTATATCTCAGAAGTCTTTGTAACTGAAATTAACATCAGTGTAAATTAATTCATTCAAAGGTGACAACAGGAACATTTTGCCTTTCCTCAACACTTACGAAATTGTTTTTGTAGGTGCATTTGAAGCTTTCAACTGAAGCAGATGATTTTTCCATTGTACAGCATTTATCTAAAAAGGGGGAAAAGAAAAGCATGTCTTTATTACAGAAGACTTAAAACCAAAAGAAGAGTGATCTGACAACTGAACTGAAAAAAGATATCTGGAATTAAAAAAGAAACTTCATTAAGCCAAGAAAATCGATTTTTGCTTTCCTGAAACTTCAAGGCAAGAAGCTGAGATTTTTGTTATTAACAGAGAATTCCTCTAAATGCTCCTACTATTGCCCTTAAATCAACTTCATTGACTTTATATAAAGAGTAAGATCAGATGGGACAATTTGAGCCAAGGATCTCAGGCAGAAAGAGGACATTATGGCAGAGCATACAGACCAGCAGCTGTTTTGGTATTCTATTTGGTGTACCAGAATTGAAGGATATTTTGGCATTCTGATAATCTCCTAGAGTTGGGAGCTAAGTGAGTCAAGAGTTGGCAACCTGAAGAACAGTAACAAGTCCTATCTCATGGTGTCCACACCAGTCAGCATTTTTAAAATTCTTACGTAATTCCCAATGATATTCTTTGCTCTGCAGTTGTAATACTCCAGACGCAGCTCTTCTGGCAAGACATCAGAAAAGCCTGCAAGGATAGGAGCAGTCAAAACCTCCAAGAAAATAGATTCATACTTACAATCGCCCTCCATATTTACGAAGAAATGGTCCTTTGTTACATGGTCTGTTACATAGAGACACACAAGGGATTCATTATCAAACTTTCACCGGTGTGAACGCCCAAAATGAACTGGCAAACCACCACCCTCCTTCAACAGGAATAAAGAGAGGCGACTGCAGCCTTGTTCCTGCCGTGCCATCACTGCAGCCCTCGGCTCGCCGTCGTGTCCTTCACCTTCCCGAAGCTCCCAAACACCCAGAGCCGGTGGGAACCAAAACAACTTTCACCAGCTACAACAGGCAGCTGCCGGACACTTGCTCGCTGCTCCTGGCAGGAAAGTTTCCCGAGCCGCTTTCCCATGGCCTCGTGGCATATCCCGCAGTCCCTTCGCCAGAGCCCAATCCCGCGAGTGCCGAACCGGAGGCTGCTGCCGACAGCCCCGGCCGGCTCCGGAGCTGCCGCCGGCAGCGGCCGCTCGGAGCGCCCGTGGCGGGCACGGGGGCAGGGCTGGGGGCGGCCTCCAGCCTCCCCCGTCTCGCCCGGCCGCGCTCGGGTACCCGGGGACGGCAGTGCGGTGCCCGGATGCTCGCTCCCGCACCTGTAGCCGAGGCGGCAGCAGCCCCGCAGGAGCCGAAGGACGGGCGTGACCGCCCTGCCCCGCCGCCGGCGGGGTGGTGAGGGCCGCTGGGGACAAGGAATATACAACCCGTAGAACAACGGGGCTCCACAAGTTTAAAAGCGGATACAAACCAGACAAAAAGAGGCTGTCCAGCCTAAAAAGGGCACAGTTCCCGCCAGGATTCTCAAGGAGCGGAGGAGGCACCAGGGACACGTTTGTTTCGTGGCTATGAGAAGGGAAAGGCAAGGGGGAGCAGAAAAAAGGGTCACACAGCCTTCACTTACTGCTGAATAAAAGACGGAGTTGCAGGAACCACTATTGAGCCCATGAGCGCATCTACTCCTGTCTGTACAGGCAGAGTTGTCAGGGTGAGGGAGAAAACCAGGAGGAAGCCTACAAAGAAGCACTGACTTTGAAAACCAGGATTTAGACTACTTAGGAGAATTTGGAGGACCTTTGAAATTAAGAGACTAAGCATCCACAGCACCAGTGAGGTACAAGGTACAGGTAGGCAAGCACCAACTTTTGAGGTTAACTCAATAGTCTCATAGAAACAGACCTGAAAAAATTAGCAATTTAGAAGAGAGGTGACAAAATTATGATGAAGCTATTAATGAACTAGCATGGGAGCAGGACAGACATCATACACACATCATTTGTATAATTCTCCAGAACTGAGAAGAGGCACACAGTGTTGATGACACCGAGAGCTTGACAGGCTGGACTTCTACGCCGGACGAAGAAATTACCATCGTGGTGGCTGGAAGCATTTACAGAGCTCTGTGGTTCTAGACCAGAGATGAATAACCATGCGCAACTTCTGAAGACTTCTGTAAAGTATCTTTAATGACTCTGTTCATGCCATTTTAAAAACAGTCACTTTCAAGAAGAAAATCAATATATCTGTATATTGTATTTGCTTTTCCCATTCCTCTTCCCATCTTTGCTAAAAGTTTGGCATCCACAGTATGTACAGTCTGACGCCTGGGAAGAGAGACTGAAAATTCACTCCAAGTTTCCAACTTGTTAATTATAGTGCACAATTCTTGTCGACTTCCCCCTTTGACTTCCCTTACCTCAGTGTAATAAAAAAAAAAAAAAATGAATCCAAGTCTTTCTGTGAAAGCTCCCCAAAATGCAAAAGAGACCATCAAAATGTTTCTCTAATCTCTATATATGGCCTCTCTAACTTTAAAAAATTGATAAGCAGTCATGCAAATGATGGAAGAAACTCATTGGAAGAGGGCAGCTATCACGATCTAGAGAGTTGTAGAAATATTGGGAATCTTTATTAGACAGCAGTCCTTGGTCTTTCCTGAGAGAATATCTTCATTGCATCCTGGTAAGATTTCTGCACGTAGGTATGAATGAGAAAAAAATTTTGCTCATCTTTCTCATGACCCAAGCTATATCTACTCACCGTTACCAAATGAAGTATCTGCAACTGACCTTGGTAAAGTGTCATTTAACCAGAAATCTTTTCTTCACCAAATGCTTTAGAAGAGTTCTAAGTATTTTTAATTTGGTCTATGTTTGAGAAGGCCACACCCACAGCCCTTTTAAAGGAAGATGCCATGTGATGTCACCTAGGTAAGTGGATTCTCAAAACGCATCCCCATCTCTTAAAACAGACAAGAAAATGGGCATGACAAAATCCACATTACACAATATGCTGTATATACAAATTGAAAGACTGCATCTCATTTTTTCCTGTTATTAAATTTAACAAGATTCAGTAAAATATGGAAGCAAAGCACCAATAGCCATCTTTCCCCAAGTCCTTGAAGAATGTCTCAGCATCTCCTACAGATCTTCAGATCTCTAATGTTTCTTCATTTGCCCCGCAAGTGTCTACAACACAGATTAAACAACTCGTCACTGGGAAAGCACGGACTTTGGAGTTGGCTATCCACTTGTCTGTTTCAGTGTTATATTCAAGAATGTGCCCTAAGCGACCAACACCCTGAAAACCAGCCAGGACATAGACTATAGATCCCACTGCAGCACACTTCACTGTTACACCTTTCCATGGCATTGGAGACACCATCTTCCATTCATTCATCTTGATATCGTAATATTCTACATTATCAAGGCCACCTACAAAACAATGAAATAGATAATTGCTTATTACATTATACTGTATGGACTGAACTAGAGCATGCAAATATTCCATGAAACTGAAGTCTTTATTTTCAAGGTTTTAAAAACCCTCTAGTAAAAAAAAAAACCTGAAAAAAACACCCTAGGTTTCTAAACTAGCAGTTTACCCTTGTATAAATACAGAGAAAAGTAAAAAGGACATTGAAAGTAAGATGTGTTGTAACAAATTCACATTAGACGCTTTCTAGAGATTCCAATGTGTTACTACTTCATGAACAAAAGAACTAACAATGCTGAATTTGTGATGGATTTGTGGCTAGTGACTAAAACTTAGGAATCTATCTGAAACTTCCCTATAGCTAGGGCATTTTATTCCAGAGGACTGGCAGGTACCTTTACCAAAATTGGCCATTTACTGATAGAGGATGTCTCTCTTCATGATGCTAGTAAAATCATTGAAGTGTAAAAGCCTAAGTCCCTTTGATAAGGGCCAAAGAAACCAAGAGTTATTAGAGAAGAGTAGATTTTATGACTAAGATTCGCTTCTTCAAGAAATATGTTAGTAATTACACCTTACAATAGCCACAAACATTCTGTTATCCCTATTTAACAACTCTGAGTCAGTTTTTACTTCCAGTCCTGAATTACTAGATCTGAGAGATTAAGAAACTTTTCTATCATGTTAAGAGGTATGAGTCTTTCATCCCAGACATAACTCTTCCTCATTCTATTCCAGTAAGAACAGTCATTAACACTTCTAAAAGGAGCATTCAGCTAACATTGTACAAGATGGCAGCTCTGGCAGTTACAGATTGATAAAATGTTTGCGCAATAAATGCATCTACCGTTTTTGCATTAGGAATCAATCACGATGGAATAGTTTTAGTAGCCAATTAAAAATCAAGCTATATTCTAAAATAGCATTGATCTGATATCAAGTATTCCAGTTACCATAAATAGTGACTTTAAAATCTCATAAATGAGAATTTTCCATTCTGAAAAGCACTTTAGAAACCCTTAGTAATTAAAATTCAATTATTCTGGTAAATAAACTATTATTCTTCTAGTTTTAAAGACAAGGAAACAGGCAGATCATAAATGACCTGCCCACAACAGTAAGTCTTATTTCAAAGCTGGGCAGTCAAAAGAGGTCTCACATTTTCACCACTTTATAATATCTGACTGTCTTTAAGTCTTTGGACTGAAGTTCCTAAAATAGTGGCTATACCTTTACCTGTCTCTCAAAAGAATGCTAAAATATCTCAAAACACATCATAAATAACTAAAAAAAAATTAATTCTCTTTTCTTAGACGCCTGGTTTAGCCATGTTAACTACTTCAGAACTGGGCTACAGTAGGGGCGCATATCTGAACTTCACAGTACTCTTATTAGTACAAGAATTTTAAAAATAAGATATAGTGAAGTGGGGATATGAAAAGAGGAAGGCAAAACTAATGTGGCAACAACAGGATGTTTGATGGTGTTGCTCAGAGTTTTTCAGCTGAACAGAGCAGAATTCATTGCAAAATAGATCAGAGCAGAATTCATTGCTGTGTGACCAGCTAGAGAATTAATAGAATTAAAGTACCTAAACCATTTTGTCCACCCACAGCAAATATTTTGTCCTTTACAAACACCAGCCCATGATTCTTCCTGGCTTCAATCATTGGACACAGCTCAGTCCACCTGGGGAAAAAGAAACCCAAACACAAGAGGAAGAGTCACCATCTATTTCATAGAAAGTAAGTATAAAATATGTAAATGAAACTTATCATTAAGAAAATGAAACAGGGATGAAAGCTGTTTAAGAAAAACTGCCTTTCAAGTAAAGCTACAAATAACTGATTCCTCACTGCTGACTCAGGAAAATTCCTTACCATATACAGTTTTTCCTTTAGTCATCTATACTCGAGTCATTTACAGAGCTAGCAAAGACCCAAATGACTAAAAATAACATTAATACAATTAATACAATACTTACGTTTCAGTGGCTGGATCATAAACTTCACAGGAATTTAGGACTCTTCCAGAAACATTGTTTCCCAAGCTTCCTCCGCACACATAAATGAGACCATTCGCCTCTACCATTCCATGGCTGCATCGCTGAGTCAGCATGCTGGGCTTCGTGTGCCAGCTCTCTGTTCTCGTGTCATAGCATTCAAATAAATACAGTGCAGAATTTCCTTAAAAAAACAGAAACCCACCAAAGTGTCATTAATTTTTATGGTTGTCTTTCAAGGGAAGAGTCTAACAGCAATTATCAAACTGATGCTTTGTTTCTTAGTTGAAAAGGGAAAGCTGCTTTCCCACCTCCAAAAGCAGAGCTGACCAACTTGAAATTTGGGACTATTCAAAAGCACATACTTATAGTTTCTTTCACTCTTTTATTCCAGTAAGTTGATAAAATTGCTATTTTTGTTTAAAAACAACAAGAAAAAAAAAAGTTTGGGTTTTTTTGAGGGGAATAAATGCTGAACAGAGATATATATAGATTACTGACCCCCTGTCATCAGCTCATGCTACTCTTACTACTTGGAAATATATTGAACTTTCAGATGTAAAGATGTAACCATCTTTGTAAACTTACTACAAGTTCATGAGTTTTTTCTGTATGCGATGTGACTTGCCCAATTCCCAGAATACTTGTTGCCTTTGGAATTTTGATATCTTGACTATGGCATACCATACTCCTGAATTATCAGCAATCACAAAACAGCTACCCCTCCCCACTTTATTTTCTTCCTGAGGAGCGGCAGATACTCATTTTCTGGAAGTGCAGGGTCTGCGTACTCCTCCCTCAGGGGCCAAGAAAACTATTACTGAAATCAAAAGCGATTTTTCTAATGAAGATAGATGGGAGCTTAAAGACTTGTGCTGAGGTAACTGAATCACAGGCAAGGCAGAGAAGGCTGCATTCAACTTTCTCAGTAAAGAACCAGGGTCCTTCTTCCCTTTGTTTCAATAGATATATTCACCTAGAACAGTTAAAAGTGGCTTTTCTTGTGCCTCTTCTTCCTTGGATTTCTACTTCCAAAAATTGTGTCATATTATCAGTACTCACTACCAGTTGAGGGTTTGAACCTTCAAAACCTCAAAACCTTCAAAACTTCAAAACCTATGTTTCCAGACCCAAAATATAGAAATAGACTCCTATAAACTGTGCATTTGTTTACTTCTACTCTGTAAGTCTCAATTTCACCAAAAATTGTATAGAGTGGGATGTATTTTTTCTTTGATGTAAATAGTCATCCTTATTGTTTTGAAGTGTAGAAATTCCCGTCCATAGAAAATAAGGCAGATCTGTCTTTAATGTCTTTTTTTTTTTAACAGATAAAAGCTTCCATTTTCAGTATAATAAGTATTTCTCCTGTACCAAAACAGAGTGCAACAATTCAGCTTCTAAACTCTGCTAGTTATTGCAAATAAAACAGGACTCCCACCAATTCAAGAAGGGGAAATGAGCCATGGACTGGCACAGTAATCCAACCTCTTCAACTGATGGAAAAAACAGGCAATTTTTTTACATTTCTTTGCAGCTAAACACACTGCAGCATTTTATCAGATTAATGCTTTTACATAATTGCCTGCTTCAAATTAGAAAATACTAGA